TATTTTATAAAGAGATATAAAATACATATACCTTTATATAACAGGCATATACCTACTATATATACCAGTTCCCAACATTTTAAAGGGCATTGATACACGTACCAATAGACTCCTCAAACGCAAAGAGAACTTCTTTTCCATTATCTAGGAGATCTTTTACTCTGCTTCCGATCCATTTAAAACCAGGGAGTGTTTCCTGGAACAGAAAAGCAGTGCATTAAATGTACATTTCACTGTTTAGTTTCAAGTCAGAGAAGCGTAGCCACTGTTCCCTTTGCTTGCAGGATGGTTCTTTGAATGGGGGTCTTGTGTGCTGGACTTGGAAAGCCTGAAAAAAAAGGAGGCTTGAGAATGGAGAAGTAAAAAAGAGAAAGAAAAAAAAGGAAGATCATGCATTTTGAATATCAGAGTCAATGGAAAACACTGCATCTTAATGACATTTTTCTCATTTTCTTGAAATAATTTCCCTGAATTTAAATCTCATCCAGATTAGATTAAGTCAGCAGAATAGAGACAGCAAAGACAAACATTAGACGAGTTGTATCTTCAGTTCAGATCATGACTAAAGTCACTGGATTGTGTTTTACTGGTGAATACTCAACTAGGACACGACCATCAACTGAAGACTGTGCTTTTCTCTGAGATCAGATAAGATCTTCCACGGTGCTTATCAGATGAGACAACAGCTCAGAGTTATTCAACAGGAAAAGTTACAGAAATAGAAATAGCAATTCTGGGTGATGAGAGGGAAGAGCACAGCCAGCATTCTACAAATTACCCAAAAGCAGTCAAAGGCTTAGAAATAACCTTTCTTGAACAGAAAGAAGGGGCAAAGACAGGGAGCTCTGAGAGGAGACCAAGGAGTTCTGTAAATTCCTGTTTTCTGGTCAAAAGTGGCCCCTTTCCAGAAAAAAAATACATGAACAGTATTTAGTGAGATAATGAAATTCACTATAAGGCAGTGATATTCAACCTGGTTAAGCATCTCTGGACTCAAAATAGTCACTCTAAACAGTTTTCAGAGTTGCTTTCTATTTTAGTTTTTAACTTGACATTGTTGGGTATTTTTTTCTACTGCACATGGATTTCACACACACAGAATCACACACAGAATATGAGGAGTTGGAAGGGACCTGGAAAGCTCCCACAGTCCAACCCCTGCCACAGCAGGATCACCACAGCAGTCACACAGGAACACAGCCAGGGCTTTGGGTGTCTCCAGACAAGGAGACTCCACAACCTCTCTGGGCAGCCTGGGCCATGCTCTGCCACCCTCACACTCACAAACTTTGGCCTCATCTTCAGCTTGAACCTCCTGTGCTCCAGCTTGGGACCACTGCCCCTTGTCCTGGCAGTGGACATCCCAGAGCACAGCCTGGCTCCTTCCTCCTGACACTGGCCCTTTCCAAATTGATCCCCACGAATGAGGGCACCCCTCAGTCTCCTCTGCTCCAAGCTCAAGAGCCCCAGTTCCCTCAGCCGCTCCTCAGCAGGAGATGCTCCACAGTGTTCACTTCTCCAAGTGGCAGCGCTTGTCTGGTGAGGAAACATGGCAAGGCCACTGTTTCACCATGGCTGCTGGATCCGCACCTCATCTTTGTGGCCCTGCTGGACTCTTTCAAGCAGTTCCTGTCCTTCTTGACCTGAGGGCCCAGCACTGGACACAAGATTGCAGATGTGATCTGAGCAGGGCAGAGTGGAGGGACAGGAGAACCTCTCTGCCCTACAACCACCCCTTCTCATCCACCCCAGGATGGCGTTGGCCTTCTTGGCTGCAAGGGCAAGAATTAATTTAATTAACATGTGTTAAACAAGACCTGGAACTTTGTTGTTTGTGCTTAGATTTCTTACATCCAACAGCTTCAGAAATCAGAGCAAGTACTTCATTTGAATGCAGGAGCTAAAATAATAACAGTCAGCCTGCAGGGGCACCTCACGTTTTCTTTTTTAGCATATCCTTGAGGAAACTATATTAGATCTGAACAGAAGAGCTCCTCTGTCTGTCACAAGCTGAAGTAAAACCCAAATTTAAACCCTACTGGTGATCTGAAGGAACATTGTGTAACCTGGAAGCATCTGCTACAAATCCATCAAAAAGCACTCCATTTTTGTAGCAAACACACCAAGTTGAACATGCTTTAATTCTCTCACACAGAATTTCTGTCTAGGAAAATAACCATGACAAAGGCATTCCTAGTTATGTGTAATGTAGGTTTTCATTTGTCATGTGTTACAGCCTCCTTGAAGCTTTGTATAAGTTGATCTCGGTGTGTATTCACTGTAACGTGCATTGAGAAACACTGCAGATGCTGGAGCTGGGCTTGTCAAGGTAAGACAACATCCTCTGCAGGTTGGAATGAAGGAAAACTGCCAGCCATCAGTCTATTTTTCACTTCATTAAGTCATAACTTACTTAAAAGTTGCACCCTCAGCAGGTTTGCGGATGGCACCAAGCTGGGTGGTGCAGTTGACACGCTGGAAGGAAGGGATCCATCCAGAAGGACCTGGACAGGCTGGAGAGGTGGGCCCATGCCAACCCCATGGAGTTCAACAAGGCCAAGGGCAAGGTCCTGCACCGGGGTAGGGGCAATCCCAAGCACAAACCCAGGCTGGGCAGAGAATGGCTCAGAACAGTCCTGAGGAGAAGGACTTGGGGATATTGGTGGATGAGAAGCTGGACATGAGTCACCAATGTGCATCTGCAGCCCAGAAACCAACCCCAGCCTGGGCTGCATCACAAGAAGTGTGGCCATGGGGCCAGGGAGGGGATTCTGCCCCTCTGCTCTGCTCTGCTCAGACCCCACCTGCAGGGCTGCGTCCAGCCTTGGAGCCCCCACCACTAAAAGGACATGGAAGTGCTGGAGCGGGGCCAGAGGAGGCCACAAAGATGATCCAAGGGCTGCAGCAGCTCTGCTATGGGGACAGCTGAGAGAGTTGGGGTTGTTCAGCCTGGAGAAGAGAAGGCTGTGGGGGACCTTATAGCGACCTTCCAGAACCTGAAAGGTGCCTATAAGGAAGCTATGGAGGGACTGTTTACAAGGGTGTGTAGTGATACAATGAGGGGTGATGGTTTTAAACTAGAAAAGGGGAGATTTAGGTTGGATATGAGGAAAAAGCTCTTCCCCAGGAGGTGGTAGATCAGTGGCACAGGTTGCCCAGAGGTGGTGCAGGCCCCATCCCTGGAGATATTCAAGGTCAGGCTTGATGGGGCTGTGAGCAACCTGATCTGGTACCAATGTCCCTGCTGAGTGCAGGGGTTGGACTGGATGAGCTTTAAATGTCCCTTCCAACCCAACACATTCTGTGATTCTGTAAGTGGGGGGCCAGATGGAGAACATGGCAGGCAATCTGATTTTACTCTGCCTAGATGACACCAAAAAAGACACACTTACTTCAAAGTGAAATCCCTCTTTAAGTGCAATTGCCCTCAAAATTTTGGAGGAGACGGTGGTCGCTAACATGTAAACATTCTTCACATCAGCGTCTTCAGAGCAGTTTTCCTTCCAGCAAGAGAACATCCACCACCCAAACAGGGCTGCCAGCTCGTTGCCAGTGAACACCTTCCAGCAGCCACTGTGGACAGGAGAGAAAATGTAAGAGGTTTTGAAGGCTTCCCAGTGGCATCCAGTCAGGAGGGAGATGTTTTCTGCAGTTATTGGAACAACAGGAATCTGAGCACACCGCTGCCAAGCTGTGTGGCAGCCAGGACAAAGCCACCAGGACTCCACATTTATCACGTCTCCATGATTTACAAGCCCAGTGAGCTCTGTTAGCAAGCAAAGATACCCATTAGGTATCCTCACTATCAGCTTTAAAACCAGTTTCGGTCTTTTTAATTGACAGGAGGACAGCAGTCTATACATTGCCATCAGGCAATGCCTGCACAACCACTTCTTGTAGACAGTTACTCACACAAGGATCAGAATTTTGGCCTGTTAGTGGAAGAAAAGCAATTTCTATTGAATATGAAGAAGCCCGGGGGGGGGAAAAGCCACAACCAAATAAAAAACCCCAACCCAAAAACCCAAACCAAACCAAAAAGCCCACAGTAGGTAGGTAACTTTCCCAAGGCAGAATTTATTTGCCTAATAGAAGTGAAAAACCAGTAACAAGAAGGTTTTACTGTCTTTAGTAACCAACTCAACTCTTCAGTCAAGTTTTACCTGGCCATCTACTGTAACACTGGTAAGTATTTCATCACTTCTGAGTTAACAGATTTCATTGAAAATATATTATTTAATATTTTTAAATATTATATTTATTTAAAATATATTATTTCAGGTGGAGCTATACCAAAAGATGAAGCCAGCAAGAAAAATACTCCCAATAGTTAAGTCACAACAGGAAA